TGAATTAAGAAGAAAAAAATGAGGGTTGCCTGGTGTCGCCATAAAAAGTGCACAAACTAGGTGGCTTAAAACAACAGAAATTTGTCTCACCATTCTGGAGGCTGTGCTCCCCCTGAAACCTGCAGGGGGAGAATCCTTCGTTGCCTCTTCCAGTTTCTGGTGTTTTCCTGGCAGTCCTTGGTGTTCCTCAGCTTGGAGATGCCGCACTTCAGTCTCTGCCTCTGCTGTCATGTGGCATTGTCCCTGTGTCTGTCTGGGGCATTTTCTTATAAGGACATCAGTCACACTGGACTCTGGTCCCACCTACTCCTTTGGGATATCATCTTAACTAATTATATCTGCAATTACCCTTTTTGCAAATAAGATCACATTCTGAAGTACCGGGGGTTAGGAATTCAACATACCTTTTTTGGGTACACCATTCAACTCACAAAAGGCAGAGAACTGAAGAAGTAGGTAAAAGAGAGTCCTGAGTTTAGTCTCCCACAAGAAAAACAGAAAAGCTAAAATCAGTTAGCAAAATTAAGTGGCATATGCTGGTCAGTCAGTTTTTAGTACTTTGTATTTCCAGCTCATTTCCTGAAATTTAGGAACTGTTTACATGTGTTTACACTTTTTTTCACCAGCTGACGTGGTAATGATACTCTCCATGTATGCATATTTCTACTGCAATTCTACGGATTTATAATTTATAATAATAAATATTACCAATAATGGAAATAAGAGTGGTAAGGAGTTTCCTACACAAAATTGTTAGGATTATCTCACCTTGGGAAAAGAAGAAATAAAAGATTAAAAGACTATGTTTTGTTTTAGAACATTACGTTGAACACATCAATTCAAGTCAGTGTGCTATGGCTGTTCAGCATGACATGGCCATGAAGCTGCACAAGCAAAATTAAACATTTGAGCCAATAATGAGCCTCATATCTCTGAGTAAGCCGGGAAGAAGTAAGCTCCTACTTCTGTTGATTTTACCTTGAGGGAAGCTGTATTGTAGATCTTGAGTGTTAGCCTTGCTCTGATGGGCAGAAGGTGGCCGGGCAGTTTCATCAGAAGACATAACCTGGGCAGAGGATGAGATTATGACATTTGGCATGTCTTTCCTGTTTTGATGATGCCCTGAAATCCAGCTTGCAGTGTGGCAAGGATTCAGGGCAGCTACATCATAGTCCAAGAGGAGTCACTTTCATGGCAACAAACCCTAGCCATTATCTATCAAGAGAAAGAAAATGCTGGCCCCACCACAAGGTCCTGCCCTGGGACCTGGGGTAAGAGGACAAGGGGAATCAATTATTTGGCCTCGCTTCCTTCTTTCCACTTTCAGCAGATGCTGCCGATGTCCTTACCATATCCTCTTTGCTCACACTGAAGGTCACCTAGAGCTTCAATGGACAGTTGTCATGAAAGTACGTGTCTCTCTGCCTGAGGGCCTTCTCTGGATGCAGCAGTATGCTTGGCCTGCACATGGAGCAGGGGAATTTGTAACCCCCAGGAGCAATCCTTGTCCAATGAGAAAGGGAGTTGGTGTGAAACAGCCCAGCTTCCTTGCTCATTGGTGAGACAGTTTTGAGGCGTGTTCTGCTCAGTCTCTTAGAAGATCTCTGGTAGTACTTACTTCCAAGTGCCCAGAGCAGTAACGCACTCGTTACTGACCATCGTCTTCCCAACTCCTCTCCTTAGTTCCTCACCATGCTTCCTAGGATCGCCTCTCAAAGAGAGGTGGGATTTGCACCCAAATCCCCATGTCACGGTTGGCTTTTGGAAGAACACAAACTAATAGCATTATATCCAATATCCCCTTTTAATGAGGAGAACCCCATTTGTTTCAACAACATGGATGGGCTAGGAAATGACGGGTGCGGTACTGACAACCCTGCAGTGGGAGGCTGGGAATCCCCTCCACCTTCATTACGGCAGGCACTTCACTCTGATTACTGCAGTGTACTAGAAGCAAGATCCCATCTACTCGATCAAAATTACCCTCAGAGAAGAAAAATGGATAAGGAATCAAAGAATCCTATTTGTGAACAATTATAAATATTCTAATCAATGGTTAACATTATAGACTATGGACGGTCAGATTAAGATAATTAAAAGCAGGAGGAGAGTATAGTTCAAGTGGTAGAGTACATGGTTGGCATGCACAAGGTCCTGGGTTCAATCCCTAGTACCTCCTCTAAAAATAAACCTAATTACCTACCCCCCACAAAATAAAATAACATTACAATAAAAAACACCAAAAAAGATAATTAAAAGCATCTGTGTCTCCTCTTTATAAGTTATATACCTAAAAACAAGATGTAAAAAGTCTTATACATCTGATATGGAATTTTGAAGATTACCTAAGACTGCATTGTCTTTATTCACATTAGGCTACCCAGAGCCCAATTACAGTTTGTCAACTGTATGCATGGCATAAATTGTATCCATCTAGTCTAATGGTTCTCAATCCTAGGAGGCCCAACTCTCCCTTTTACAACAAATATTCTGTAATTCTGTCTTTAATATCCTAAATGATAGTCAAGAAAAATATGTTATACATAATTTTAATAATCAATATAACACACTTACTTTGACATGAAACAAAGAAATTTATAAGAAAATACTTTGATCTCTAGGTGTCTGGATGTGACTACACTAGGAGGCAGTAATGCTTGCATTTGCCTATAAATATATTAGTTTGTACAGAAGAGACGCGAGATCAGAAGTGACGGCGCACAGGATGTATAGAAAAGCAATCGCACAGCAGAACAGCAACCAGTGGAGGACAGAAAAGTACATGTGTGGGACCAACAGACCAGACATGCTTGCAGGATATGAGAAAGAGAAGTAATCTTAACTTAGTCTCCGAGAAAGAGCAGGTCAGGGTGAAGAAGATGAGGAAGTTTGATTGTCTCACAATCAGGCTCCATATGAGTTGCTTTAAAATAATTCCGTCTGTTCTGAGGGGTAGTAATTGAGTTTGATAGAAAACTGATGGCCCATTCTGAAATCACATCACATGTTAGGGCACACGTTTCATCTCTAGAACTTAGACCCAGGGGAACCACATCCTTTACTATGTTTTGGAAAACAGATGAACTCCCCCCCCCCAAAAAAGAGAGAGACAGAAAAAGTTCTAGAGAGATGATGCGGTGGATTTCTAAGGTGGGTGCTGAAGGAAGACTGGGGGGAAGAAAGACAGCAACCCATCATTTCCCTAAAAAAACCCCACACCATGATTTCCATATGTAATTTTCTCAGCATGGCTTTCTTATCACTGTGCTACAAAAACAAGAAAACCATAGGCAGGATGGTGCAATAGTGTTGGTGCTCTGTCCTGAGCGTTAGCCATGTGAGGGCTTACTTCCCAACTGGAGCTCTGGGTAAGAAAGCTTCTCTTAAAATGATGTAAGTTTGTTGAAAAATCTCATGATAATTCCTTTTTAATAATGTCAATCATGCAGTTTAAAGACTTTATTTAACATTTCTGATACATATGCAATATATGTCAAATCGCTTCAAAATATTTTGATGTCACTGTTTGACTTTTCATTGATTGAAACAAAAAATTCATGTTAGTAGTAAAGAATAATAAAATATTTTAAAACAATTTTCTTTAGAATACCAGCTTATTTATATGCAGGATAAGACAGTCAAACTCATTTTCACAGTCATTGCAAATTTCACAAGATAATCTTTTATTCAAGGCATTTATTTAAACTTTATTAATAGCAGTGATAACATTCCCTGACTTGTGGGCCTTTCATTAAGATTTTTGGTGACTGAGGCTGTCAATGAATAATTCAATGATGTGTTAATGCGGCTGCTGCTACTTTAACTTGTTTACAATCCTACGTTACTAAAGGACATGGTTGCAACTCCATCTGCTGCACAATGACACTGAAAAAGGTCTTCTACAGTACATGGGGGCAGCCATCTACAATAAAGAATTCTCCTGTCCAAAATGTCCATAGTGCAGGTTGAGAAACCCTACACTAGTGTAAGTTATCTGACCTTTATCACAGTCCCAAGACTCTTCTTGTATATCATTTCTGTTATCCATGCCTATATTTCCACTGTGTCTCTTCTCTGGATCATATTATGCATAACTAATTCTGTCAATTACTAGGGATCATTACCTGCCTTGCTTTGTCTGTTGAATCTGCTTTCTACATTGGGGTTAATAGACATAAGCTTGAAAGCGTGAGCCCCTAGAGGGTAGGGAACGTGTCATATAAAATGGATGAATCTAAAGTTAAACATAAAACGTATCTCAAGATTGTGAACAAACTTCACAAATAAAGCCTAAAGAAAATAAGTCACTTACACTTTTGTCTTCTAGAAATAAACGTGTTAATATTTTGGCCGACACCTCTCCTTAAGGGCAGGCACTGTTTCATCGATCTACAAATTTCAGATTTAGCACAGTGCCTGGCCCTTACAAGTACTCAAAAAGTATCTTTCTTCTTAGTGTACGGTACACAGTTTTGTAGCCTATCCTTTTCGTTTAGCCTCGTAGTTGGTCCATTTCCCCATGTGTATTCTTTAACGACGCAGTAACATTAACGTTTCCAAGCTCAAACTCACTTTAAAAACTGTGACTTTGTCTTACTAAGGAGTAAAAATTTTGCAAGGGAAAAAAATTTAAATGGCATGTGTCCAGAAGGACTCCAGGGCAGAAATTTGGGGAGCACAGTCGCTCCGCCACAGACTCACCGCGCCTGGGACACCTGGACACGGGCCACCGTGGATGGGAGGGGAGAGGGGCCAGGGACCACGACTCTCGGCGCTTTCTGTGGGGGCTTCAGGCGGGACTGACATGGCGAAAGGAGGGAAAAGCTCCCCGCGACAGGAAGGGTTTTGCAGCCCCGACTCCGCTCCCATCCACAGAACTACTGCTCCCACTCCGCCGGAACTCGAGACGGTTCGCATCGTCAACAGTTCGCCGGGGAGCATGCTCCCGGGACTGCCCAGAAAGACTGAGCATGCGTGGAATGCGCCGGGCGTCCCGTCCGGGCAGAGGTTAGAGGTCGCAAGGAATGTCCCCGCGCCCGCATGCCAGAGGAATCCGCTGCTTTCGCGGCCCTTCGGGGTATGGGAGCGGTGCTGAGTACTGCGGTTCCCAGAATTACACCCGCTCCTCGGACGCCATCCCACTCCTTTTCCAAAATACCCGAGGCCGTCGGAAAAACACGTAGAGGCGGACCCTTTCCGCTGCGGACGCACTTCCCTTCCCCGGCAGGAAGGGAGGTGGAGTGGTGAAGGTGGACGATCCACGCATGCGCCCTTCACCGGCGGCCCCTGGAGTGGAGTTGCCGGATTCGCCGCCCCGCCCGCAGTGCGCCTGCGCGCTCGCCGAGTCCCTCCACCTCCGTTTCCCCTCCCCCTGTCCCCCGCGGGGGCTCTGAGTCCGGCGGGACCATGTTCACCAGCACCGGCTCCAGTGGGCTTTGTGAGTACCGTCCGCCGCCATCCTGATTGTCCCCTACATGCCACCCTGAGCACCTCCTTGGGGCTAGGGGCAGTGGGGACTCTCGGTGTTGCAGGAGGTTTGGGGGCTCATCTTTCATCCCCGTGCCAAAACCTTGGTAGTTCCTGCCTGTTGGGGTCAGCGGACACCACCCCCATCCCAGCCTGGAAGGGCGAGTAGGACTGAGTCCCGCCGCCAGGCCCCCACATGTGAACCCCAGGTGGGATGTTCAAGTGCTCTCGGGGCAGCTGCAGGTGGGCTGCGCAGTTAGAGTCGGGCTGGGTTGCCCTGGTGTTTTCCTGGCCCGGCCCCTTGCCCTCAGCGGCCGGTGTGCCAGGCAGAAAGAAGAGGCTGTCCGGGTAGAGGCGGTGCTGGAAGCCTGCCCCCTTCCCAGTCACCTTGCTCCATTCATTTAGGCTATAGAGGGACCAAACTGGCTCTCCCCCAGATGTAAACTCCAACCTCTGCTTCTCTTAGTGTTACATAGAGTTTCTTCCCTCAGTCTCCCTTTGGAGTTTTTAGACAAACAAAGACCGATTAAAGTACTTTAAAGTGAAAGGAAGTTTGGAAGTACTTTGGCACTAAAGCAGGGACATTGCTGCTGGATGTTGCTGTATTTTACTGAGTGTCAGCAGTGGTCAGCAGATAGAGGGATAAGAAGTATACACAACCTTTTAAAGAACTTTCTTTTTCTCACTGAAATGGCTTAATTGACTTTTGGTTTAATCGTATGTTAACTAAACAGCACTGAGATTAGGCACTGATAAGACAGCAATGAACTATTTGAACAGCTATAATTTTTGCAATCACTTGTCACTGTTAGTACTTCATGTCGTATACATGTGAAGTTAATCCTGCTGAGCACAGAGGCAGCTGACATTTCCAAATATTAGCCATCTATTGTGAATGTGAGGAATCTTTTTTCTGAGAATACATGTCTTAGTCTGAGAGTGAGTTAGAATAAGGGCCACAGGCATAATTTTAAATCTTCCTCACTTCTCAGCTTCTCAGATTTTAAAGTGGGTTTAATGTTTCTGATTTGCCTTGTTTCACAACTGATTTGATTCATGGCATCTTTCAAGCATTGGCCTCAAGGATACGTTACAACTACTAGGTAATTAATCTTCCCCAAACTACCCTTTGGATAAAGAACATTATGAGTGTTAAAACTGATAGTCGAGAAAGTGGTACGATTTTCCTGGGATCACACTGTGAGCCGTTCACTGGTGGATATGAAACTAATGGTAGAATTCTTCAATTTTATTTGTCTTATTTCATCATTTTGAACTGTCCTTCTTTGGTGACCAAAATCCATTTAAAAATTTAAAAGGTAAGAAAAATCTGTTATTGTTTATTATGCTGTATTAGACATTATGTTGGCAAAGTTTATTCAAATTTGACATAAGGTGACTCTGGGGAAGGTAGTACTTGATTACCTATGGCACATGATTGATGAGTATTGAATTCTAGGAACCAAATGGCTGCCCAGGGAGACACTTAGGCCGAAGACTCCTCCTCAGCTGTCTTGTTCTATCTCTAAAATAAATGTACCCGCAGCTTAAGAATTGATGGAATGGCCATTCCTCAGAAGGCCATGTCTTACATGCTCATTTAACAAACATTTTGAGCATCTCTTGTGGGCTGGCAACGTGACCTTGGACGAATCTTAGTCTGAGTGTTTGCAGTGTTTACAGTGCTGTTTAGGCACCGTTTTTCCAGGACCAGTCTTTTGGCAAGTCTGGGTGGGGAAATCTTCTTTGCTTTGAAATTTTTCGTTGCTGGGTGATTTCCTTTAGATAAGTCATGTGGCCCTTTGGTAAGTCAGAGTTCTGATCTTGAGGACAAATATTGTGCCCAGCGCTGCCCCCAGGGGTGGTGAATAACATTCTCTTTTCAAGGGGAAAAATCTTGGGCATTTCCTACCGCCTGCATATTTCCCACTTCTGTGACTAGTGGTCCCATATCTGTAACTAGTGGGTGATGGTGTTTTTGTGTTACATGTGCTTTCCTCTCTCTCATTCATTCATTTATTCATTCAACAAGTGTCCATTGAATACCCACATAAGCCACACACTGTGAACAGAGGATAAAGTGGTAGGATGAAAGGGACCAATATCCAGTAAGTCAACAAATCATGTGGTTTCACATAGTGATAAGTGTTGTGAAGAAAGTCAGAAGGTGGTGGCGTAGACTGAGGTTGTGGAGGACTGCTATCTAGCAGGTGTGATCAGGGAGGATACCTGAGAAGGGGACACTGAGCTGAGACCCAACTAGTGTGAAGAAGCCAGCATGGCAGAGTTTGTGGAAAAGTGTGCATCTTGCAGAAGGGGAGAGCCAGCACAAAGACCCGCACACAGGCACCGCCAGGCATTGTCCAGGTACTAAAGAAAGCTGGTGCTGCCAGGGCAGTAAGTCAAGGGAAGGGCACGTGTGACCATGTCTTTGGCACTGTATTGCTGTCCACCCTGTCAGGTAATTATGACTGGGTAAAAGTGCGTAGGAGTCATATTCATGCCTTATTTTAGATTCTTGCTTAGAGACCAATGCTAGTACTCAACGACAGACATGTTGAGTAATAGATGGATCATTTCTTACACTTATTGGTAAGTGTTCCCACGACTTACTCACTTTACAGTGAATTCACTGTGTAACAATGAACTCTACCAACATAAATTGTGAGGCTAATGTATTTCAGGTATAGTTCCCACCCTCAAGGAGTTCAGTGTCTAGTGGGACAATGTTTTAAAAAGAAGTGAAACAACTTCTGTACTTGGTGCTGCAGGTTTATTGCTGGGAGTGGGCTGCTGGGGGAGAGGCACCGTTGAGACTTCCAGTAGAGGTGGTATTTCAGCCTATTTTTGAGGGACTCGTGAGGGTTTGGCAGGCATGCAAGTGGGGAGAGGGCCTCTGTGAAGGACAGAGCCTGGGCAGGGCCTGGCAAAGAGGCAGGAGGTAATGAATTTGGGGATTATTAATTACACTGAAGAGAGCAGTTCCTGCCCAGAGATATGCGGTGACATCGTGCAGAGGGCGGGTGAGTCCAGAGCTGGGGGTGGAACCTGGAGAGGGAGAAGAGGAGGCATGGCCACAGCTGCCCCTCCAGGAGCACAGACAGGACCAGGTGGTAGAGCAGAGGCCAGGAAGCAGAAGGAGGTGACAGTCTAGAACTCTGGTTGGGAAGGCTTCACGTTGCCTTGGGAAGCAAGACGGGAGACGATTGTCAGGGGTCGGAGCATTATTTTCCACATAGTGTCTGTATCCTGGCCACATAAAAGCAGCCATGGAGCTCTCTGAATGTCCAGATTCCTGAGTCCCATCCCTAGAGAGTCCGACTCAGAAGGGCTAACCTGGGCATCAGAAATTTGAATGTTTAAAACTTCGGTGAGGGGGGATTCTAATGGACAAATAGATTTAGATCAAGGTGAGAGGATGGCCATTGGGAGATGCTGACAATCCCACTGAAGGGAGTAGCGGTGAGAATGGACAGGATAGAGAAGGAGGATTCTGAGGATGTGTAGGCAGGTAGCTTGTGTCAGTAGAGCTTATTGCATTATGGCGGAGAAAGAGGAGTTGAAGGTGAGCCTGGTAGACAGGTGCTGTTCACTGAGGTAGAGAGCGGAGAGAGGGAGGAGCTTATCTGGGGGGAAGGTGTTTAATGTCGAAGGGTCTGTGAAGTCCACTGGGAGACACCCAGGGGACGTCTGGAGAGAGGGAGCTGGACTGGACATGGATGGTTAGGTGGGAGTTATGCCGTGGATGTGAATGAGGACACTGGAAGCAGTGAAGAGAGTTAGAAGGCTGAGGACTGGACTTTAAGCAATTCCAATCCAATATTTAAGGCACGGTGGAGAAAGAGGAGGTGGCGAAGTAGGCAGAGGGGTGTTTCTTTAGGAGAAAACTGTCTTTACCCAACCTAATTTGATTTGCCCTCTTTCATTGTAAACAAACTCCTGCAGCTTTTTCACTCTCACCACAGTGACTCTGCTCTCCAGACTCCGTTCTCCTTGTTTCCAGTCTATAGCCCAGTTCTGGCATCTTCCACATCCAATCTGGAAACCGTGGTTAATTACCCACGTTCTCATCAAGACTCTCAGTGAGCGACCTGGAACCCCTGTCCTGCTCTCCTCACCCAGCAAACCCCAACCTCATATTAATGAGTGGTGTCTGATCCAGGCCGGGTCCTTGGCACGATTGCTCAGTTGCACTTCTTGGGTTTGATTATCTCCCTGTGTGCTTCCCCTTTAATTGTCAAGACGATTCCCAGTCTCTGCCTATCCACTCTTTTTTTTTTAATTAAAAAATTTTAAAAAATTTTTTGGGAGGGAGGTAATTAGGTTTACTTATTTATTTTTTTGGAGGAGGTACTGGGGATTGAACCCAGGACCTCATGCATGCTAAGCATGCATTCTACCACTTGAACTATACCCTTCCCTCGCCCATCCACTCTTAACCCGTCCAAATCCAAGGTCCATCACCTGGACATGTCTCCTCCCAACTTATCAAACAGTTGTTAGAGTCCACTTCCTAATGTAGGCGATGTTTGAGCTGATTTCTGAGGGATGAGTAAGAGTTTGTCAGGCATACAGACTGTGTTCCTTTTTTCCATCCTAAAAGAATAAGGCACCCTTCTCCTCCTGAGGCCCGCCCTCCGCCTATTCGTAACTCATTCTTTGCTGCCTTTTCTAGTGACGTCCCTCGTTCTCTCATCTGAGAGACTGAGCTTGGCACGTGGTTAAAGGTGATGCTTTCTCCTGTGGGCTCTTCAGAGACCCCCAGAGTACTTCAGATCCCTTATCTGTGGAAAGGAGATAATATTATTCCCTATTTTGTTGGGTGGTTTGTGAAGATTAAGAGATTGACTGTAAAGCTCCTAGAGTTTTGCCCTAGTGAGTACTTGGTTAGGGTTAGTATTTTCTCCTGGATCCTTCTTTGGAGTCTGTTCTTAAAAATACAGAAGCATAACCACTCCATCTATTAATCAT